CCACTCGGCTGGCTCCTGCGGCCCCGGCGGGGCGCCACTCCCGCAGCCCGCAGCGCCCGCCTTCCCGGCGCGCGTCCGCACCTCACTGCAAAGGAGAGAAAAGCACCCGAGACCGCGGTGCGCCGCGCCTCGGGCTCCTCGTCTGTGAAATGGCATGATGATTGCATCTTACAGGGGTGCAGTGATGATTCAAGGTGCAAACCTGTCTAAAGCACTTGGGACGGTGTCTGAGCGCTCAACACTCCCGAGCTATTGGAACTCTGCGCTTCAAGAGCCCTTCTGAAGTCTCAGTGTGTCTGGAGAGGCTGCCTGGGTCAAGGAGCCAGACAGAAACAGAGTGAAATCGGCCTGGGTCCTTTCCCATTGTGGACCCAAGGGAGAGCTTCTGTCTCATCCAGCCATCCCTGTTCCTCTTCTGTAAACTAGGGGTAGTGAGGTGAAATGAGGACCAAGGTTTAAACAAACGTTGGTCCCTATCCAAGACCTCTGAGGTCACTTTTATGGATTTGGTGTCTGTAAAGAGAAAGGGGTTGGCAACACTGGGGGACTTAAGTTTGTTGCTTTATTTGGCCCTGAGACTGAGCCTCTCTAATCCCAGCTCCAAGCCTGTGGCTCCAGGGCCCAGATGGTCAGAGAGAGGAGGTGGGAGGGAAAGAGTGGGGACAGAGCAGCTTCCACCCCACCCTTGGCTGGGACAGCCCTGGAGCACTGGCCAAGAGGGAGGCTGCAAATGGGTTATCTCCTTCAAGCACATGCGGTGGGGTCTCCCTGTGAATGTGTGGGGCAGGGCTGGTGCATGCTGAGAGTACAGAAAGGACAGCCCCCTGAGGGTATAGCATGGCTCACTCAGGAGCCCCTTTCCAGTGTAGACTCCAGGAGGAGACCCTGAGCTAGGAGCACCTTCCTGGGATTGGTTGGCTGGAGCTCTGAGGCCCTTCTCCCAGGCCCTGACCCAGGAGCCAGGACCCAGGTGGCCCCACCACTCACAGCCTGGTGTCAGCCAGCCCTCAAGACCCTCCAGCAGCCTCTGAGCCTGGATCCAACTGCCTCTCCAGGCCTTATGTCTGATCTCCTTCGTGGGCCCTGTGTCCATGGTTTCTCAGAGCTTACCCAGGTTTTCCTGCTTCCTTCCCTTTGCCTGGAATGTTTTGGCACCTTTGAGTCTCTTGAGATCTAGTCCATCCTCCAAGACCTGGATCAACCCCCTTCTCTGATCTCTCAACCCAATGAGCTCATAGCACTTGAACCCTGCCCTCTGTTAAGGTCTTATTCTGGCTCCTAATATGCCCCTGAAGGATAGGGACCACGTGTTTGTCATCTCCGGTCCTCATCTGCATCAGGTACTAAATGAATAAATGGAGGCACAAGTGACAGCTAGAAGGGGCCTCGTTTTCTCCATTCCGAGGTTAGGATTAGCCATACTGGCCTTCCAGGGCTGGTGGAAGCTCGGGGTGAGGTTCCTCCAGAGTGTATCGGCTCATCCCCTCTTCCTTCCCAGGGTCGCTCAGACAGCTGTACTTCTCGTTGGCTTCTCAGCCTCCCCAGCAAACCTCTCCCATCTCAAGAGAACCTTCCCGGGCCCTGCATCTCTCTCAGCTGCCGCCCCAGCTCCACCTCCTCTGCTTCCTTCCCCATCTCCCCAGCCCTCTGCAAACTGCCTGTGGGCTAGGCCTTGCCTAGAAATCGTCCCATCCCCTTTCAGAGCCAGCATGGATGCTGCCTCCTTGGGAAATCCCCCTTCCTGACAGCCTGACGAAGCTGGCTTAAGTGTCCAAGAGCACCCATGTCCCCCAGGTTCGCCACCCTGTGGCAGTTGGGCAGGGACACGCACCTACTGGCCAACAGGCTGGGAGCAGAGATGGAGCCGGTCACCCAGGGGCCAGAACCCGGACTTACCAGTGCGAGACCTCCGAGGACTTTCTGGCCCTGCCTCGTCAATTCTGGTGGCACGTTATGAGATGGAGGGACCTCGGCATCCGAGCAGACTGCACGGCTGAGCCACTGCCCTGGAGGGCCACCCAGACCCACAGTAGACTTCGGGTGAGCAAGAGAGGAGCGCCCTTTGTGTCACATGACAGACGGGGGCGGTTACCACAGCCCGGCCCTGCCTATCCCGCCTGAGTTGCAGTTAGAGGAGCGGGGGAGATGCGCGGCTGGGCGACAAGATCCCCGCGCATTTTAGTCACTGTTGTTGACATCAGGGTGCGGCAGTGCCTGGGGGGGTGGGGCAGGGGCTTCAGCAAGCTGGGGTGACCCCTGTGTCGTGTGGGGATGAAGGGCAGGGTGCGCCATGGGAGAAAACCTTTCTCTCACTTACGATTTGCCAAGGGCTTGTCCGGGGCCTGTTTACATATTTAATCTCGGAGGAAAGGTTATAATGAATCGGGTGCTATTGGCAGGAGATGGACATTTTCCCCGGATATGTGGTTCCTGTGGTTGGAAAAGAGGATTTCTCCTTTGGATTAGCAGGGTTTCTCTGTCTGTCTGTCTCTCTGTCACACACACACACACACACACACACACACACACACGGAGCCCCTGCCAATCTCATCACTTCAGGAGTCTGTAATATGATATTTCAATAACAATCTGAGACAGACGGATTCAGCCCCCTGCTTAGCTGGTTGGAGAAGATCAGGATGTGGCTTTGTTTCCTAAGTGAGAATCTGCTAACCTGTCACCAGGTGGGGGTGTTCCCTTGAAGGTCTGTCTGTGTGAAAGCTTTTTCCTCTTTGTCCATTTTCTCTGCGACTCTCCTTTAACTCATGGTGCTATCAGGTGAAACCGGCCCTGTGCAATGAGCACGAGTAATGTTCTTGCTACTTGAAGGTGGGGTAAATGACGTCGTACCTGGTCCTCCCCACCTCCATCCCACCTTACATAGCCCTCAATAGATTCCCCACCTCCCTCCACGGGCTAGTGAATTTCAGTGGGGATAGACGGGCCTCCCCCTATTTCAGAATAGGGAGGCTGGGGCTGCAGCTGAGTCTGGAGGAGAAAGATCTGGACAGCCTGGTTTAAGTCCAGACCCAGCTAGGTGTCATTTGGGTGAAGTGGGCCACAATGATTTCCTCAATTCCAGATTCCTCATCTTCAGTTGGGGCCTTCAGACCAGCCTGGCCTCCCTCATGCGGCTATGGTGAGGATCACCCCAGAGGGCTTTAGGCCGAAGGGATAATTTGTGGAGATATGGTATTTGATTTTCACTGCATTTTCCCCCTCCTGTGCTAAGAAGTTCCAGGAAGGATGAGGTAAAATTTTCCTACAGACCCTTTCTTTCCTGGCTTTTTTTGTTCAGCCCCTGAGGGGCTGGATTATGCTGGCAGACGGAGTGCAACAGAGGGGTGGGCTTCCTGGGGCTGGGCGGGGGAGGGCCTAGCCCTGCATCTGGCCTCTGCACGGTTTCCAGGCTCAGGGGGAAGCAGGGCACGTAGGGAGCCTCAGCCTGGGAAAGGACCAAAGACTCATACTGGCAGGACCCAAGGGACCGTGGATGCCTTTGGGGCCAGACCATCGAGGATGGACGATGCTACTTTCCAGCCAGCCAGCAGGATGACAGCTAGAAAACAAACATAACTGATTTAGAGAAAAATTGTGCCATTTTTGCACACTCAAGCTGGGAGAGCGAGAGTCCCACTTTTAGTACGTAGTATGCTCTTAACAGAACGGTGAGCTCTATTCTTCATGCCCACCGGTTCCTGATGGCAGCCACCCAGGAAATCAGATTAACAGGCCCCCCCTTCCCTTGTCGTCTTTTCCTTACCAAAGGCCGACAGAGTCTGTAAAGTTCTCAGTGGCCTAAGCACAAGTGGGTGTCGCCAAGTTTCTGCCTCACTGATGACCCACCACCAGGGTGTAGGGACCACCCACGCCGGCCTCACAGGATAGGCCGGTCACAGGTGCCACTCCCACAGACTCGGGGGCTGGCTGGAGAGGTTGGGAAGCTGTGTTTTAACCACATCCTCTATGAGTGTCCAGCACTCAAGGATGTTTGCTCAGCTTTAGAAGTGTTTGCTCTAGAAGTGAAATGAAGGTGACACCTTGTATTCTCTGCAGGCCGTCAGGAGAAGAGATTTGCTGTGGGAAGTGGTAGGATGGCTGTGCCCAAGTGACCAAAGACGATTATGATATTAATTCTGATTTGTATCACGGACTTAGCTATTGGTGCTCCACTCCACTTGTGGATATAAACTCAAGGCAGGGATCAGGCCTCCTGAGAGCCAAGCACTGTGGGCCTTTGATGGTTATCTGCAGAACTTCACTGAAGGAACAACGAGAGCCTGCTGCCTGCTCTGAACCAGGCTGATGGGTGGAGAGCGGCGTTACCTCCGATCCCCATGGCCATGCGCCCCTGTGGCTGGGGCATGGGCATCTCCTTTGGCCAGAAAGTGCAGGTTCTATAGGCTCTCTGACGGACACAGATGACAGTACAAATTCATGACCAAGTTACGTCAATAGCAAAATTATAATATATTAATAGCAATATCATAATAGAATAAAGCCTTGGGAGGGCAAGCAATCTTCCAGAATCTGCAGGTTGGCATTCATTGTTCGTGAGCTCAGCTGAAGGCAGTGCCTTCAGAATTTGGTTAAATCACAGAGAGAAGGACCAGGATTAGTTGCAGGGAATCATTTTCCAAGCGGAACCATCTTAAAATGCTGAAACTAGCCCCTGAGGTTGCATGGAGCCTCCCTTCCTGAGTGAGATCTTCGGAAAAAAGGCCACGTGTAGCAGTGGCTTTCACAAAAACTTCAGTCTCCTGGCGGTTTGGCCACTGACATACATTTTTTGGCTTACCACCATATGAGCCCTTTCCAGAGATGGCTTCTGGTATGCTTCTGGAGGGTTCTTCCGAGAGGTATGGCGCTCAAGAGAGCCATGTGTGGCAATAACCAGTTCCCAGCTGCTCCAGAGGACACGGTGAGCCAGGTCTCTGTCTGGCAAAGGGCTAGGTGCAGGGGCCATCTGGTGGGACATAGATGGTGAAGGTCCTGTTGACAGTCTCTGGGTTCATGCTGTGTCACCCCTGCCGCTGTCCCCAGCACACTCTAGGAGAAGGCCCAGTGTGGATGGGGGGCGGGGAGGGGAGAGCCTAGGAGAGCTCACCGGAGAGCCATGTACTAGCACTGCCTTGCACAAAGCTGGTCTGCAATAAATATAATACTTGTTGATGAAAGGCCTCCTTTGTGGACAGCTAACTCTGAACCTTTACTACACAGCAGGGGGGCCGCTCAACCCAGGCCCCCAGAGGGGCAGTGAGGAGAGGCTGAGAACATGTTGGACATAGGAGTGTCTGGAGCCAGGGAAGCGGACCACCCTGGCCTCTACTTCATGGGCTTACCATCCAGCTTGGCAGACCCTGACACCCGCCCCCCCCCCCCAGCTTCATTGCTTGCTCTGCTGACATCTTGGACTGCCTGTCTTTACTCTTGGCACACAGGGTGAGGTCCAGACAGGGTAGCCCACGTGCGGCCACCTCATCTGCTCCCAAGGAAACTCGGGGAGGGTCTTCCCGTCACTCTGAGTTCAGTGGTCTCATCCTCACATAGAGGGTGCGGGAGGTTGGGCTACTGACCACTTCACGGCCCTCCTTGGGTCTTCACCATGGTGTGGCTTTCTCAGCACAGAAGGATCTAGAGTTAACAGGAACAGCATCTGGATGACCCACCTCATGGTGTCTTGGTCTCTGCTCTGGTGCCTGAGTGTGGGGTAGCTGAGAGGGGACCGGCTGGCCATACTTCCCAACATGGCAGCTTCCAAAATGGCCTTTTGGGGCAGGAAGCAAAGATCTGAGGGGAAGGAGGCCAGTCCCTCCTGAGTTCTGTGCTGATGCTGAACCAAGACACAAAGAAGGCTACAGCCAGGCTCTCCCTCCCCTAGCCTGCCTCTGGCCATTAATCATAACCCAGCCCTCTCCCTCCTTCCCCTGGGAAGATAACGCTTTGCTCTCTCCACTTAGGAAACCAGCCCCACCCACAAGGCTGGGGTGGGGGAGCAGGGGCTGCCTCAGTGGGCATCCTTGCTGGGGGATCCAGCACTGAGGAAAGCTTGGGCACACACAGGTGCCTTGAAAGGAGCCAGGAAAGACCTGGCCCTCCAGCTCAGTGCCCATCCAGTCCAGGTACACAGTGGACCTAAGGAATCCTGGGGTGGGGGGGTGGAGGCAGGGAGGGCAAATGGTGACTGGGGTTTTCTCTTATTTAGAAAACAAAACGGAAATGATGTGTTAACATTAGTAAATACAGGCAGGTGTGGAGGGGCAGGGTCCACTTTCTGGAACAGGGCAGTGGCTGGGCCGAGGGTCAGGGGTCAGATGAGGCCCGCAGCCTTCTCCTGCACGTTGTACTCCTTGCTCTTCTTCACCCGCCAGCTGACGAACAAGAGCAGCAGTGCACCCAGCGCCTTGTAGCCCACCTGCAGGCCCAGGTACCTGTGGGGCAGGAGGAGACGAGACCAGTGAGGGGGTGTGGAGGCTCTGTGGCCATGCCGTGGGCCAGGCCCATCAGGAAGAGTAGCATCACTTTCACAGTGGCCCGGGGAATATGCTGTCACCACTTAGGTGAGGACCCATTACCACCCTGGTGGGGATCACTTCCCAGGAGGCATGAGACTCCTAATTCAGTGGTCCTCATTCCTGCACCGGTGACTCCCCCAGGGCCAGAGGCAACACTGCAGCCCCAGCCTGTGTGGAGGGTCCAGTCCTCCCAGCAGAGCCAGAAGGAGAGGGGTACCTGCTCGCTGCCCTCTTGGGGCACCCCTCTCCTGGCTGTCTATGCCACCCCCGTACCGTTCAGCCCCCCTCAAGCCCACTCTCCGCATGGTTTCTGGTTTATGTGATGATGGCAGCAGGTGAGGTGGCTGGAAGGGGTGCAGAACTAATGAAGCTGCAGCTGGGCTTGGACCCGCTGAGGCAGGGTAGGCCCACCTGCCCTTGACCTCTACTGTGAGCCACGATGGGGCCACCTGTCTCTGAGCAGTGGGAGCTGGCCTGGCATCGTCCCACAGCCACGGCCTCACCTCAGACTCCAGCCAGCCCCTTTCCGTTTGACAAACGTCCTTCTGCGACTGCTTCTCCTGAGGGACTGTGGACTAGGCGCTAGCTCCCAGCAGCACGCACATGCGCGCACACACACACTCCAGGACGTTCATGGCTCTCTTCACCAGTGACCCCTGCTCCCTGTCTGTGGCAGCACCCCTCTGGGCCTCTCCCTTGGGAGCCTGGCAGCCCCCACAAAGGGCACCGCAGCAGATGGCTGCCCTCTGCTCTGGCCCAGTGCCTGACACCGCCCACCCCGGGCCACGGGGGCGTGCTGGGCCCTCACCTGTCTCGGAGAGCGTCATTGTCATAGTAGGCACAGGCTCCATGCCTCCCCGAGCACTGCAAGCTCCACCTGATGCAGGAGTAGTCGATGGCAAGGCCGTAGAGGGCTGGAGATGGCAGCCAGGCTGGCGTCCGCGGGAAGAGAGTTCAGAGAGCCCAGATTACACGGGGCTGCAGGCAGAGGTGCCCGGCGAGGTGGGCAGCAAGCCCCCCCCCCCCCACAGCTGCCCCTGCATGGTTCCCATGAATGAGAACGGCTCTGCCCCACCCCTGGGAACCGCAGTGACTTCGGAAAGCCAAATCGCTGCCTGACGGCTGAATTCCTCTTTCACTAGAGGCTTAGAAGAGAAACGAAACCTGAGCCATCCTGTCAGGGCAGTGAGTCACAGAGGTCACCTAGCTGCCAGCTCAGACCGACAATATAGTTCTCACACCGGATTGGCCTCCACCGTGGGGCATCGACTCCTCACGTCCTCACAGGGCCTGGAGGTGGGTGGGTGCCCTCGCTCTAAGGAGGAGGAAGGTAGGCACAGCGAGCTCATGCTTGCATAGCCAAGAGGGTCAGGGCTGGCCTTTGAGCCCTAGTTTCCTCGAAGCCCATGCTCCTCCACTACACCAGGCTGCCCAGCTGGCTTAGACAACCCCCCCAGAAGACCCCCAATACCCTGGCTGCTCAGAGCCTCTACCCCAGCCCCCTGAACTTCCCCACAGCTGAGTGGTGAGCCCCGATCCAGCAGAGGCTATGCCTTCCTTCTGTTAAGTATTCAGGATGACCCCCATATTCTTAGCTACAGTTCTGGGCGGTCACTGGACTGGGGAGGGATTTATCCAGGATCCACACCCTGAACCACTGTGCTCAGAACAGCCTCGCCGACTCTGTCGAGGGCACTGTGAGAAGCTGCTTGAGGAGGAAAGCAAGAGATCTGCCTGTGGCTCCACCCATAAGTGGGAACCTTTGAGAACCAGCCTCTCTACTCACACCCTGCTCACTTCCAAGTCTCTGGCTAAGCAGGGGATGGAAACTGGCCACAGGGATTGTCCACCAAGGATGCTACCCTAAATAGAAACACAGTCCAGAAACATTTTCAGCCAAGTCCCAGTGGGTAATTTTAAACTTGCTGGGTTTTATCCATGTGAAGTCCTTCTTTCTACCCCAGAGTGCGATTGCGTTCTTGGGTGATGATGAAAGGAATGCCTCCAGCCCAGATTTTCTAACCGTGATCCCGTATCGAGTTGTCTGAGCTCAAGTGACAAAACAAGGCGGCAGGTGCCATGAGCAGTGGGACAGCGGTTGTTTTCCAGGTGGCTGGGAGAAGCTCTTCAGAGCCCTTCCTGGCCGCTGGCTGCGCTGGGCGCAACGCGGGGCTTCATGCCCTGCATCCTCCACGCTGGTAATATAGGCCTGAGCAGCAGGCTCTGAAGGGGCAGTGCTGGGACAAGGGCAGCAAGTGGCCCGATACCGAGAGATCCCGTGGAAAAGCTGGTTCAGTCCTCATCATCTGCACTCCTCACCCAACCTTTGGGGAAGAGGGCCCTGCACAGGTTCTCGCTCAGCAGGTCCCAGGAGGGACATCACCAACACAGCCCAGAAGGATGATGGAAGCTGCTGGAGGGCCAACTGCAGCCTGGCTCCCGGATAATAAGGCACAGCGGGCTCTGCAGGGATTTCAGCACTGGAGGTCAGCAAGGACACTCCGAGAGCGGCTAAAGTCCCTCCACTGCAGTTGCCCTACTCCCCGCTGCCCTGGGCACCCACTGCGTCCTTAATCAATACTCAGCTGAACGTAGTCCCTTTACTTGGCTTGCCCGGCACTGCAAGGGCCTGCATATTACTGCCTGGATGGGTCAAGAAGGCACAGTCCAGCATGAGCCTCTGGGAGAGGGCGGGCGAGGGGCACGCATGCCCCCCCCCCAGCCCAGGTCCGCAGGGAGGGCTGGGTGTTCCCCGCTCCCCGCGGGCAGCTGGCCCTCCTGGGGGGCATTGCTGACCATTTGCGCAGGCTCCATTTCTCCGTGGGCTCTGGGCTTCTTGAGCATAGGCCGGGTTTGCCGGCAGAGGGCCCCGCGCTGAGAACATTTGCAGAATAGAGGCAAGAGGAGTGAGTTTTGTCAAGTGGGAGGGAAGCCAGGGCTGGGCTCAGCTGCTGTTCTGGCTGGGACAGGAATGCAGGGTTTTGTTCCTACAGCCAGTTCTTGGAGAGAGATGAAAAAATACCTGCCTTCAATTCTTCATTAGGTATCCTCAGCTGTGTCCACTTTTCATTTTTCTTACGTAGTTTTGTTTGGAATTAATGTCTTAGATGGAATCTTTCCTAACCTCAAGTAACGGGGAAACCGCCCATATAGGGTCTCGGCCTTTGCCGATGTGTTGGTGATGCGCGCCCTCTCCTTACCGCAGAGATGAGACAGGGCTTCCCTCAGCCCCTCCCTGCACCTCACAGCCCTCGGATGCCCTGGCGCCGCTCCTCAGGAAGGAAGGGGGCATCTCAGACACTTACCCAGCAGGCGCATCAGCAAGAACTGCACCCCGATGGCAAATGACTTTTCTTCCTGGTTCACCACACTGAAAAGGAAGATAGGAAGTCAGCAGCCAGAGGACTCGGGGCTGTGCCTTGACTCAGTCAGGGGCAGCCGGCCTCAGAGCAAGCCAGAACCTACCCTCAAGGGGCCTGACAGCTAGCTGGCTGACTCGACTGACCTCAGCCGCGTGCTCCCGTTGTTTGTATCGGCGGTTCTCAAAGCACGATCGCTGGGCCAGCAGCGTGAGCCCCCACCCCTGGGAACTCATTAGAAATGCAGATTCCCAGGCCCTATCTTAAACCTAAGACTCAGGTCCCTGGGGGTGGGGCCCAGCCATCTGTGCTTTAGGAAGCCCTCCAGGAGATTCTGTTGTGCACTCAAATTTGAGAACCTCTGGTCTCTGATTTTCAGGGCTGCCCCTGCCCCCTTCAAGAGGCAGAGGGCAGAAGAGGCTGGGAATGGAGAGAAGGATGGGGAAAGGTGTGTTCACAGCAGCAGGTCTGAACAACTCCCATAGAGTGTGAAGAGCAATAAAGACAGCCCAGATGAAAGTGTAATTAAGGCCCCTGGGCCGTAGGCTTCTGTGTGCAACTAGAAGAATCCTTTACCTAGGGCCAGCTTCGTGGGCGTGGGGCCTGTGCTGTCTCCCAGGGCCCTGCCCTCAGAAAGGCCCCAGGTTTGATTGAATGCTCTGCTGTGGCTGGTCTTGAAATTCTTAATAATTTTGGAACCAGGAGACTCCCATTTTCATTTTGCACTGGGTCCTACAAATTATATAGCCAGTCTTGCCCCCACCCTTCTTCCCTCAAGAGAGGACAAGCATTTGGCTGAGGAAGGAGATTCGGAGAGAGATGGGGAAGCTATCTGGCGGTGGTATTGCCAGGCCCTGCCATCCCAGCTGGGCAGGGGGCAGAGAGGGAGGACACCCCAACCACAAGGTGGGGAGCCAGGCAGTGGCCTGCAGAAGCACCAGGCTTCTCGTGCTCTGAACACCCACACTCCTGGGTGGGGGTGCCTGTGGGGGAAGGGCATTTGGGGCAGAGGGGACATCAAGGAAGGGAACTCAGAAGTAATGTTCAGGTCTCTGCACACATTTTGTTCTGGCCTCACAGTCCTGCTAGCAAAGTGGAAAGGGGCCCTCTTCCAGTTCCTCTGAAAGGTGGACCAGTGAAAGCGATACTCATGGGCTTGAGGCACCCACTTAGGACGCCCACCCCATGGAAAGTGCCTCAAATCTCAATCTAATGGATGCTCCCTTTATGCCCACAGGTCCCTCCAGTGGCCCAAATTCACAATAGTCCTGGTCATTGTCCCTGGGCAGACGCCCCTAGATTCTGGACTGAATAGGGCTTGGGCACCCCAGTTTGGCTTCTGATGGACAGCTTGAGCCCCTCCTGGTATCTGCCCTTGGCTGTGAACTAACTCTGAAGTTTGGACCACTCTCTTCTTCCACATTTCTGGTGAACCTTTCCTCCCAGCCTGTATTTCCATGCCTGGTTGGGGGCCAGGGTACAAATAACACTTGGGTCGCCTACAAGGTCACCTTTAAGGCTCACCTTCTTCACACTAAATTGCATCCATTCTCTCATCTTTGCCAGTGGGATTTATCTTTAAATGATTTGGGGATCCTGGAGCCTCTTTAGTTTCACTCCAGCCCATGATCAGACTTAGAAGGGAGAGGTTTTCTAGGAAAGCCCATCCTGTGGTTGAAATGATGCTCCTCCTCCACAGCTTCCCTAGCTCTGGGGCTTGATGGAATCCTCTGGGAGGTGGACTGACAGGGACTGCCCCCTACTTGCTGCTCAGCAACTTCCCTGTGAAATGTCCTTATCCTGTTCCCTCTCCTCATCATGGCCACCCACAGGTATTTCTCAGGGCTAGAGGGTCCACCATGGCCCATCTGGCCCTGGTGCAAGAGGTAACCCCACTCAAGGGCCTTGGATGACAGCACCAGTGTTTGGAATGCATAGGGTGGGGAGTGGTAGAAAGAGGGTGCTGATGGTGTTGGGAGGGGCAATATGCTGTGGCCCTGAGCATCCCCACATGTTCCTGGGGAATATGCTAAGAACACAAGGTTCTGACTGCTCTTTTCCTGGGCTACTTCTCAGGGCTGTGGTTGCCATGAGCAACCTGGAGGCATGGGGTAAAACCTTACCCTAGACCAAGAGCAGGATTGGTCTACATAGGTGGTGGCTCTCCCAAGCTCAGTGTTCCTCACTGTGAGAGAAGCTCACTGCATGTGACGCATACACCTGGGCATTCCAGGTCACTCCATGGGATGTGGGGCACAAGGATAAATGATGCAAGGTTCCTGCTCTTTGCATGCACCTGTGAGTAACAGGCCTTTGTCTTTGAACCAGGAGTCTCCTGTCTGCTGCCAGCATTCTTGAAATAGTAACAAAATAGGAGCTTGGGGAGTGCCTGGGGGGCTCAGTCATTAACCGTCTGCCTTCGGCTCAGGTCATGGTCCCAGGGTCCTGGGATCGAGTCCCGCATCGGGCTCCCTGCTCGGCGGGAGGCCTGCTTCTCCCTCTCCCACTCCCCCTGCCTGTGTTCCCTCTCTCGCTGTGTCTCTCTCTGTCAAATAAATAAAATCTTTAAAAAAAATAGGAGCTTGGTAGTTTGCAAGCTAACTTGTCAATAGGCTAAAATACCAGGCCCTGACAGGTGGCTGCTTCTGTTCTTCCTCTCCTAGCCTTTGGGGAAAATAGGTCATTGGCACCTAGCTAGCTGTTAATAATTCTTAGAATTTGGTTAATAGTGATAATTAACCAATATATAGAGTACCTTACATCTACAAAGCAATTTATCAGGTAATCCTGACACTAGTCCCTTGTGGTCAATATCATGAACCTCTTGATAAATGAGGAAACTGAGACTCAGTGAGGTTGGCAACATCCCAGGACATCCAGCCAGTGTACAGCTGAGCTGGGCCTTTGACCCTAGCACTGGGAATCCAGATCCTGTGTTTTTCCCTCTCTGCTCTCAAGAGGGGTGAGGACAGGAAAGAGGCGGGCAGGGGTGGGTTAGGTGAACTTGGTTGAAATGTTGTTTTCTCTTTGGCAGAGGGTGAGGTGAGGGAAGGGTCAATTCCCTCTCAAAACCTCAGAGGCATTCCACTGCCACTGTAAGGGGACACCTCTGCTCTCCCCTCCCACCTTGGCCAGCCTCTCTCTTCTGACCTGAGAACTTGGTCCTGGCTCCTAGCACACTTTTCTTATTTTCATCCTTTCTCAAAGCCCTCATTCTGAACTTTCCACATTTCCCCCCCCCTTGATTTTGTACATCTAATGGAATTCTCTTCCTTCCTCTTAGTTCTTTCAGGATTTAAACATATGTGAATCTTCAGGCATTTCCACAGTGTGGAGCCAGGCAGCCTGGCCTCCCGGAGGCTCAGCCATTCGTGGCTCTGCCCTCCTGGGGGTGGGGTCTCTCAGTGGCAGGAAAGGAGGAGAGACAGAAGCAGGGAGCGTGGGGGACCGAGAGGCGCACTCACCGCAGAACCATCATGTAGAGCGGGTTGTGAGAGATGCAGGCTATGAGGGCCACGAAGGAGATGAGGAAGATGGCCGGCAGCAGGAAGTGGGCGCAGGGGATGGGGCACGATCCCGACTTGGCTGAAGTGGACGCCCCAGTCACACAGCTGCAGTTCAGATACGTCTTGGAAAGGAGAGGGAGGGGGAGGGGGAGATCTGTCATCACCCGCACCACCACACACTTCAAACGCCGGTACCAGCTCCAGCCAGAGTCCCTCGGGCGATGCTGTGTGTGGAGGCTGGAGGGCAGACCCGGGGAGGTTTTTGAGGTGCCCCACGGATACCACCTCTGACCACTGTTTAGGCCATCTAAACCGTCTTCACCAACACCGGCCATCGAGCGGGGGCTGGGCCCCTCCCGAAGTTCCACCCACAGCAGGACATGCGGGACCCTATCGCCAGGCAAGGCCTACCCGGCTTGGGACCGGGGGCCAGGAGGGCTCTCTTTGGGGCCAGGCCGCCCTGTGCATCACCACAGTGGTTCTGTGGGTGCTGTGTTTGCTGTTTGTGTGCTTCTTGCAGGGAAGGTAAGGACGGGATAGACAGGAGGAGATAGCAGTGGGAACCCAGTGGAACCCACTGAGCTCTTCATCTGTCAGGCCTTTGCCAGAGCTTCCTGCCTGAGAGGAACTCCTGTCTGTGAAGGACTCTAGGGAAGGAGGCCCCTGGCTCCAGTCTGCAAGTTCATATGGCGCAGTACTCTGGTACAACTGGCCTTGGGGGCCACTGCCTGTGTCAGGGGGTCTTCACCTTACTTTTCACAGCGTCTGACGGCCTAGCCTGGGACCATTTAAGTGCCATAGCAGTTACAACTGCTAATGGAACTAACGAGCTAGTATGCTTCCTCCTGGCCGACAGCAGGAACTATGCACCCTCTTTATTTTGGCTGCCAGGAAGCTCAGAAGTTAGTTCTATATAATATGGCTGTTATTTCCGTCAGTCTGCATTTCTTTAACATAGGTTTTTTTTCCCCCCCTTATAATTTACTGTCTTTTCTTGATGTTATGCTAGTGGATTTGTGCTGTTGTTGGAAACCTGTCAAGATGATTTCTGGAAGTAGATGAGTCAGAAGTAAGTAAATAAAGATAAGAAAACCACAGAAGCCACCACAGACCCCTCCGACTAGAAGGCCATGGAGAGACCACCTTGTTTGCGCTCTTTGTTCTCTTTCTGCCCACGGAAGTGGCTGTGGGAGCAGCCTTGCCCTGTGCTCTCGGAGGAGGATGCCTAGCGGGGGCTAGCCTTGTCCATGCCCTCCACACGGGCTTAAGGTAATGAGGCACATTCTTCTCCTTAGGGCATCCTTAGCAGAACTGCACGAACTTCCCACTGCTCTTAGTAGAAGGTACATCCGACTCCTGGGCCCGGCCCGCCCAGTCTTGACCTGGGTGTGACATGCCTCTTAGCGCCAACCCTGGCCTTCCCTGCTTTCTCCTGTGCCTGGCTCTGTCATGCCCTTGGGCCTTGCACTTGCTGTTCCTTTACCTGGAAGGCTTCACTTCCAGGCCTTCCTAAGGTTTTCTTCTTCTGGTTGTTCAGTTCTAATGTCACCTCCACAGGGAGGCCCCCAGGAACTAGAGAGTCTAGTCATCAAGTCTCTCCGTGGCATGGGATACATTCTAAAACTACCTTGTACATTTATTTGATAGAATGCAAACTCGACGAGAGCAGGACCTCGTCTGATGGGTTCACCACTGAGTCCTCAACACCCGTGGCTGTGCTGGCTGTTCACTGAGTATTTGCCGAATAGCTGAACAGATGTCTTGACTTGGTTTGCTGCTGCTTGACCCTAGAAGTCGGGAGCCATAGCCCTCTGAGGGCTGGTAGAACCTCACCTCGTGGGCCCAGTGAACGAGGGCTGCACAAGTGGAAGGCCGGTGGCCAGCAGATACATGACCTTGAACAGATGTGTGCCAGACTGAGGCAGCGTCCTGGGTTCTAGTCCCACAGCTGCCCCTAAATAGCTGCATGACTTTAGGCCAGTTGTATAGCTACACATCAGGGCTGAGGGATTCAACCAAATGCCCTAGATCACACTTCCAGCTCTAACCTTCCGGGTTCAGATCACAGAAGACCCTCTGCTCTCGATTTCCCTGGGCCTGTCCTTGTGGCTTCCCACACAGGCAGGATGCAGGACCCAGAGATGCCCCTTAGGATCCATCAGGATGAGACTCTAAGGCCTCAGCTGAAGGACTGCTTTGGCTCGTTCCTGCTCTGAGCATTGTTGGGGCTCAGGAATGTGAATTTTTTTTGAACATCAGCCAAACTTTAATTAACTCTGGGCTGTAGGCATCTGGTCATGACCTTAGGGAAGGGGAGGTGGAGAGAGGGCGGGTGTGGCCCAGAGCCACGAGGCTGGGAGCGAGTGGCGTTCTGCCCATCCTGGAGCCGGGGAGCAGTGTGCGAGGGCACGGGCTGAGCGCAGACACCCCCACGGGCCTTCTCCGGCCCTTACCAGCTGCTTGGAGGCCACAGAGCTGATGTTGACGTCGCTGCAGCCAGCATGGCAGGGCGAGAGGTACTCCACTCCATTGTCTCCGCACACCGGGTGGAAGATGGAGTCTGGGCACCGGCAGTGCCTGCGGCAGGCAGGGAGCGGCAGATGTATAGAACTTGATGTCCTGCCAGCAAAACAGGAAATGGGGGATCAAACAAAGCAAGACCAAAGAAAAACCTCCCCACGCCAGCCCAGCGTGGGTTCCCCGCCTGGTTCGTGTGCCTGTGTGTCTCCGTTTGTCTTGGGCCAGCGCCACCCTGGGATCTGAATTACGCCTGTTGGAGCCAATGGTGAATGCCCTGCTTGGTCAGTGCTCATGGCACCCACCAAGTGCTGGCCAGAAAGACCTGGTCAGCAAACCCCACACTGCAGAAAGGCATTAAGACAACCAACCAGGGGCGCCTGGGTGGCTCAGTCGTTAAGCGTCTGCCTTCGGCTCAGGTCATGATCCCGGGGTCCTGGGATCGAGCCCC